CTTTATTACTGAACTAGCTTTCATAGAAAGCATTTAGCTCCCAAAATGTATTTAATTCTAGATTGAAGTGGCGAGCTACGACTGCTTTATTTTGAACTACTTCCTTTTAGATACTTTTAATACTAATAATTATACATATATACTTTGGATCAGCTTCATAGTTGCAGTCTGCTGGGAGCTTCACATGCAAGTGCATCGAGCAATACAGGGGCTTATCTCGTAACTCCCACTGTCTAAGCCAGAAGGCGGTGGCTAAAACTAAGATGTCTTACGATCCTTCGAGTACCACAAGCCTCGTATGAAGGTAGCAAGAATTTGTGCGAGTGTAGAGCTCAGAAGGTGAAGCCAGACCGCTTTCCTGGTGCGTTCGCCCTGCTTAAAGTTAAAGGTCTGTCCTTTCCCGTCCTTCCCCCGACCCCAGTCTCTCGTCTGATCGAATCGCCTTCCCCTCCCGGCGCCCTTTCGCGAGCTAACCCTTTCATTATGGGCTCGGTCGAGAGCGAAGATGGGCTTTAAGTTCTTCATGTGAATTCATCTCGATATTCGTGTATTTTTCATTCGAGTATCTGCCCCGCAACACTTGGCCTCTCTTTTGTGCCCCGGTTACTTGTTGTTGCTCGGCGCACTGCATTGTTATGTTAATTTTTGATTATACGCAACCCTATTGTTGTTGTTTTCTTGTTGAGTGAGCGAGTGAGCGAGTGAGCGAATGGCACGAGCCCAGTCTTTCATATCTGCTGCTCACTAATTTGTGCGCGTGCCGACGGCCGAGGGTGCTGGCCCTCCCCATCTGATTTGGACTACCCCCTTTTCAGCACTGCCGAAAATCATCGCATTTAAATAGTTCGGCATGCCCCGTCTTGTGCCCGTTCGTCGACAGTCTGTCTTTTGTGTCTGCTCTCCGAGGGCGTCATGTTCCTCGCACGTCCACGTGCCGGGCATCGGTTTCAAGCTCGCCTCCAACTAACCCACCCACAAAGGGTTAGCCCCACCCATCTCTTGGGTGAGCACCGTACTGCAAAATTAAAAGTGTTGCGCTTAAGTGATTCGATGTGATGGGTGTTTGTGTTGTTTGTTGGTGCCCTTGCCGCAAGCTTTAACTAATGTGTAAGACAAAAAGATACCAGATTGTCCTAGGCGGAGTCAGTGCCTGGGGTCTTGGGCCTGGAAGGAACAGGTGGGGGTGCACAACAATTACAATAGTCAATCAAGTTTGACTTGGGCATCAGTTTGGCTCTGCTTTCGTTGCACGAACGCCTAATGAATGGGAACATTTTGCGGTGACCACGGAACACCTTTGAAGGATAAGGAAGCGCCTCGGAAGCTGGTCGGGCGGAGTTTCTATCTGTACACCGCAGTTAAAGAGATTGTCTCCGGATAAGGCCGCTCCCCTTGGAGGTTAATTAAGCCCCCGCGAGGAGGCCACGTGTGCAGGATCGTCGGTAGTCGTGGTGGTCAGGGCATTAATGAATATGTATTATAAGCGCTGAGGTGCTAATGGACACGACACGCCACACAATTTGGGCGCAGGGCAGTTGAGGGCAACAAAAGCGTTGCAGCCGCAAATTGCATTAGAAATGCAAACAAGTGGGCAGCCAGAGCTCCACCCCAGAACCACTCAAAGCCGGCCCACTTCAGGGCCCCAACTAGCGGAAATGTTCGACATGGAAGCGGGCGCTAATTGAATATACAAAATGCCCAGCCAGGACCTGGATCAGTTGAACCCCATTGAACCCCGTTGAGCACGAAGGTCGACGTCGATGTGCAGCTGGATGTGGTCCACGTGTTAACCCTTCAGAAGTTGCCATTCTTGCCAACCAATCGACCTGCGTCCGTTCCACAGGGTTAGCTTCCGTCGAAGCTCCGAGGGGTTGCACGCCCAGTCTTCCAGAGTGGAGTTTCGCTCCGTGCAGACTCGGACATCGTGGGAGTTTTGACAGTCGGCGTGGCTCTCCCGCCCCCTTTTTATTGCACTCGCCACTTCCGCTCTTCCGCTCATTGGGTATGCAATTTTTGTTGCCTTTCCCAATGGGTACTTTGCCTTCTTCCACCAATCTGAAGCAAATCAAAAATAAGTACTACAAGGGCACGAACCTCCCACATGTTAGGGTATCCACAAGTTCGCCATTGCTAGTTCTTTTTACCCTGCTTTCAACGCTGATGTTGTTCGTTGGCATTTGTAAACTTTAATCCCATCTATATGCTTATTTAGATTGTTTCGCTGCCATGGGATTTCCCATCGAACAGCCTACCCTCGAGATGACTTTCTGACTAGCCCTTTTACCTTCCTACTGCCATTGCCTTTTCGTTTGCCGGTAGTAAATGAGTTCACTTCCTGTTGCGCACTGAGAGAAACCTGGCCTTTTAGGTTGGCGATCCTGTGCGATGGTAAGACCATATCTAATGACTACTAAGAATTATTATAGTTTAGATACATGGCTTGGCGTTTTTGTTTTTATACTAAACGAATTAGGGTTGAAACTTTCGCTGACTAAGCCTATTTCTTTAATGGGAACGTACCAGCCGCATTGTTACCGATCCTTTCTTCCGGATATCACTTCTACTTTCACTGGCGGCGTTTATGACGGCGTTACTGTCATACAGTGACAGTACAGCGATATAGCCTGGTATCTCAGTTATCTGGACTTCTTTGGCTGCAATTTTCATTGCGGCTCTGCTTGGCTGGAGTTTGGAATTGGGATTTCGTTTGGCTTCGGTTCGGCTTGATTAGGCGTTAGGGCTTGCGTGGGATTAACCAGTTATGGGTTGGGGTGGATGGTGGATGGTAGATGGACTGACGGGATTGGAGACTGGCTGTAGGTTGTTCTATTGTTATCGTTTTGATTGCAGCGTGCAGATGTCTGGTTTGTTTTGGGGAGCGCTTCGCCATTTGAAACTCTCTTTAAGTTATTATACCCGTTACACGTAGAGTAGAAGGGTATACTAGATTCGTTGAATAGTATGTAACAGGTAGAAGGAAGCGTTTCCGACCATATAAAGTGTATATATTCCCGATCAGGAACAATTCCGGAGTCCATGTGCCCATGTCCGTCTGTCTGTCCGTCCGTATGAACGTCGAGATCTCAGGAACTATAGAAGCTAGAAAGGTTCCAGAAACATAGACAACATAAATGATGTTGCCACGACCACTCTAACGCCCACAAACCGCCCAATGCTGCCACGCCCACACTTTTAAAAAATGTTTAAGTTTTTTTCATTTTATTATTTTTTCCCCAATAAGGGGAATCTGTTGATACAGATATTCCAGATAATGTTGAAATTTCTCATTCCACTAGCTGAGTAACGGGTATCTGATAGTCGGAACTCGACTATTTTTTCTCTTTTGTTTTTTTTTAAGAAATTTAGGTTAGCATGCATTAAGCCTGCAATTTTACGACGTAGAGTCGCCGCTGATGAACTAAAAATCCGCAATTCGAACATGATAAGTTAATGGTTTCTATGATTATCCGTCTTATAATGGTCTATGAATCCCCTAGTTTTTTGTATCAGAAACGAAGAAAAAGTTTGAGGCTTAGGCGAGAAATCAACAATAATTTCCGGTTTATGTCTGGAGCCCTGGTATTATGACAGCCAAACGATGAAAACGAAAGCAATCGTCTTGTCCGCCCCCATGTGTTCCCCAAGGGCGGAGGCAATGGGGTCTTTGTTTTCGTAGCTCCTATCCAGCGTTTGGCATATGCAGACAGCCATCATGTTGCTGTTATTAGTGGCTCCGCTCAATGGGGCCTGTGAATGAAATGTTTATTAGCCTGATTATTGCTCATAGACGAGCCGCCCATCGCCCATCCCCCAGCACCCCGTCCTCTCCAATTGATATTCCCATGGACTGCAAGTCGGTCGAGTCACGCACTTCCTGGACCACGCCCCCAATTGCAGCTGGGGGCAGGGCGGGTCCCACAGCTAAATTAGCAATTGTCACATTGCTGCGAATGCATCGGCACACGGAAGAGGGGGAAATCCAAAAAGGCATCGGGGTGCAGGGCAACTGGAGGACCAGAAATTTTCCACTGCTCTTTCCAGCTTCCCCCATCTGCTCCTCCGGAGTTGGGCAAACTGTGGACAACCATTGAAAGCATCCCCTATTCACACCCCTCTCCACTTGGAGGGTTGGAAATTCGTTACAATTAGCACTCAAGATAGATGGGTTCGAGGTGGATGGAAATGACAGGGGGAAACGAAATGGAAAAGAAGCATGGTCGAAAGTAAAGAAACATTTATCAAGAAGGTTCCGGTAAATCTGGGAAAATGATGGTTCCCTTCCCCGAAGCGACCTTTTTAAATTGTCCTGACGGATGCAGCACGCTTTGTAATGAATTGATAGTATTTCAATAGTTTAATGTGATTGAAACAACTTTAATCTCTCAGCTAATGAGCCATGTCGCTGTCCGATGTCCAACATCTTTCGCCCGAATATCGAAGTCCCTCGCCCGCCCGCATGCTCCATTAGCGTCACACAATTTGTACCTACCGAAAAAGAAATCCATCAGAAGGGGGCCCCACAATAAAATCCAATTCCAATGAAATTTTTCATCCCACCAAATTGAAAAAGCGAACAGAACGAGAAGAGCAACCCAGAAACAAGAAACAAGAAGACAGCACAGCGGACGACGGGCAAACAAATAGCCAGGCTCCGAATCCACTGCCTCGGATGGAACACAATAACCTGGGGAGCAGTGCGGGGCGGAGGGTCTACGGTCCGTGGGGGAGAGTCTCGGGAAGCCCTTTTTATGGTGCAACAAATCTCGGGCTGAATGAAAACGCCAGAGAAGCGGCGAGTGGACCAACGCAAAGTGGGAAACCGAACAAACAAGCAAGACCTCCGCCTTCTTTCCCGAGGGGGTGGAGATGACTTCTCCATGACGACGACGACGACGACGACGATGGCGTTGGCGTTGTGGCCATGTCTGTGCTATATTATTAAGTGTAGCCAGAAGCAATTAGGTGTAGATAAGTAAACAATAATGGTCTCAGTCACGTACCGCCGGCCAACTCTGGACTCTGGGCTTTTCCCCAACCCAAGAGCCAGCATTTGGTGGTCAAACAGTTCAAAGCTGAAGGATATTGACCAAAGGACATCAATTTTTCGTTTCAGCCATTTGTAGTTTTTATTAGCTGGCTACGTCTCTTCAATTTTGTAGGGTTTACCAATCCGAACGAATAGAACTGCGGTACCTCCTCCTAAGGTGCAACTGTCTTCGCCTTGAACTCGGTTAGCCTCGTGACATTTGAGGATAAAAAATCATCGCATTCAACGAGAATTCAATGAATTCTTCACACATTCAACTACTGCCAATGCTCAAATAAGATGCACCGCATCCTGCCCAAACTTTCCGAGCCGAGTAGATCCACTCGGTTAGCATAGCCAATACTCCCAGAAGGGGTACCATCATCCGAGGCTTGAGAGGTGCTGTCGCCTTGTTCGAGCATCGACAGTGCTTAATGCAGTCCTCGCATCTACTGGCAGGTAGCTTCTCCTTTTTGAAGATGCCCGGATTAAGGGCCAACTGGCAGCCGTACTTGGGTGAATACAGACAGCAAAACGTCTCGACGTAACCTGCAGAAGGAAAGTATTAAGGGGGCTTGTGGTTTCAGGTGAAGATCTGAAAACTGAACTTAGTTCTAATGGGAACGGCGTGCATGATGAAAAAGGGGTGGTAAAGCCCGTAAAACCCAACTGGTACTCTTCCTCTGTCATAATCCATTGGTGGATGTAAGCACCTGGAGCGCAGTAATACCCCGTTAAGTTAGTCTTGCAATGAAACTTCCAGTGAGCGTTACAGTTAACGCACTGACAAAATGTACCTGATGGATAAAAAGAGGGTTATATGGAACGCAAGTTACAAAAGAAACCCTCACCTGGCACCAAGAGCAGAACAATAGCCAGGGTATTTAATGCGCCAGATGACATATCAATTCAAATCACAGCTACAATTTTACTGTTTGTATAGATGTCATATATGGGGTGTGTTTCGAAAATAATTAATAAAACCCAGTTTGCTAGTCGAACCGAATACACGTGTACTCTTGAATCTGGCAACTCCAATCCTCTCAAGATGCCGCGATCATGGGCAGCGCACGTATGTAATTAACGACATCTGAATGACGTTTGCATATTTCAGAGCCTCAGAGCCTCGAACTGATTCAGCTGATCTTTAATGAATTCTTCCTCAGACGGCGAAATTCCCTGAATTCGGTGCTCATTATACTACGTGGGATGGCATCGGTCGAAGGTTCTCGGAAATCGCCGCAGAAAAACAGCATTCAGTTATCAGAGGAAGCCAACAGCCTACATCAATAACGAGGCACAGTTTGCCTTCCCAGGCCTTGGGTACCCAAAATGCATTCTCCAGAGCTCCATAATGTTCATTAACAATAGCATATTCCATGCCAAACTGTTGGATCTCTTGGTCTAGCCTTTGGAAACTGACTTTGTTTAGTACTCTAATGTTCTGCCCAAGAAATTGATGTATTGACATGGCCAACTAAAACGTATCTGAAGCAATTATCAACAATATCAACCAATGCATTCCACTGAAGGAGTATCTGTAGTGTTTTGACGGGGACACCAGAGATGTCACTCCTGCGAATGCAGCTCAAATTAGCCCTGACTTTGATTTAATTGCAGCACTTTCTCTGGCACGCCTGCTAGAAAGTATTGGTTCTCCGGTGACTGGCAGTTGTTTGAATTTGAATTGCAGAATCTGCCGCACTGGCTCGGCATCGTCATTGTTATTCAAATGCTGCCATTAATACTTCTCTGGCAATTGAAAGTGCCCGACGACGAGAGGAGCATGAGGGCATGTGGGTGGGTGTGGCCCATGGGCACACGTCATGTGTGAGTGCTCCTTCGAGCTGTATCCGATCCCCAGTTCTCCTAGCTTCCGTTCTCAGCATTCATATGCAAATGCTGGTGACTTCTCCCGTGTCGCTTTGAAGTTATGTGTCTGGGTGACTGGTTTTCCATGTCCTTTCCTTACTCCTTTGTGGTCCTATGCACTCTGCTCGGGGATCCCTGCTCAAATGTAATATAAAAATTGGGTTTTGTATTTATCCACTCCGCCTTCGCAGGCAGCATGCCCAAAACTCCGCCTCTGTTCTGCGGCATTAATGTAATATTGTAACATAAAAGTTCCCCGGCATTAAATACTCCACTATTGCATCTCCCGCGTGGCGGCTGCGGAGTTATATTTGGTGGCCAGCAAGAGGGGAAACATTCAAACTAAAATCATTTGTGAGTCTGCGAAGACCCGAGGAGAAACCCCGCATGACAGCAGCAACAAAGCGGCAACGGCAACAATGACACCAGACAACATCAATAATAGGGAACTCCAACAGCAATAACTATCACCATCGGGCACACATCATCGTCGTCATCCCCCAAAATGGTATTGAATTTCAGTTGCCGTTGCCTACCCCACTCCGTTTTTCCTCGGTTCTAGGGGCACAGAATGAATTTATCAGCTGGACCCATCGCCAGCTCGGATCTTCGACGGTTCCATTTCCAATTCGAGGAACGAGAGTTGTGGAGTCTGTGGACCGCTCTGCCGTCTATTAACATTTAATGTTAATGGAATTGTCTGCGAACGCAGCAGGTCGGGGTCACCACTCTAATAAAATACGGAATGCCATAAAGTCCCAATCAAACTGCTTCGGATTTTCTGGCCCACTGACTAAGCCGAAGCTCCATTGGCACACACGCACTAACCCCGAGCCCCAAAGATGGAGCATGGAGATGGAGCAGGCCTTAATTAACCCAAGAGAAGGGGGCTGCAAATTACACTAGAACTACACACTAGTTGTGTGCGGCTGACACTCGATCCCCAGCACCTGTCGCCTGCCTTCTGGGCCACCAGTTAGCCTCACTCGCATCTGGATTCAAGGGACTGGGTGTGAGTGTGGCACGCTGCACTCCGCTGCAGGTTGCAAGGTGACGGGAGCTTGGTGGACAAACAGAATACGCAGTTGCGCTGGGAGAAAGGTAATGCAATTGCCAGAAACACACAATGTAGAGTTTCAGTTACTTGTTCTGGTTTGGAGCTAGAATCAACAAACAGAGAGGTCACAACCCTTTGGGAAAGTCCTGTAGATATTTCTCTGAGTGTCGAACAGCTCCGCACAAATATTTTCACAGGCAATAAGGCAACAAATAAAACCAGGTAGACAGACAGAATGAGTGAGTCGGAGCCTTTGGCAGAGATAAATACGGAGGCAGACTGGCTAAGACCAGCAACAGGACAATTAAATTATGCAGGATTTTTCCGGAAATAGTACTGCAACCCCGGCTGCTTCTGTGAACACGCCTGCAAAAGAAAATGGCCAAGATTTTGGGCAAATTGATTTTAAATAAATTAAAACTTAAGCATTGACATTGTGTCAGCCCCAAATGTTTCTTTTGTCAGGAATGTCGTCGGTCTTTCTCGAAATGAGTTTGACTGAGGCTTAGGCACTGTGAATATAATTATTTTCCCCTGGCAATTCGTAAATATTATCTGTTGTTGATGGTTTACTATTGGCTTGACTTGAGGCAAATAGACACGACCAAAAGACCTGTTGCATTTTTCGATAAATATGATAACTTTAATATGTTTTTGTTGAGCAAACGCTAAAGACTTGTATTTATAAATCTGGGTACTCCTAGCTCTACACTGCTACATAGTGTTTGGCCTTGCTCATTTTCCCGATCCCCTCTGGCAATCCAATTTGTAAGTCTACCAGTTCCCCTCCTGTAATGATAAATCATCTTTTGTGTTCCCGCTTTGTTTTCTCCGATTTGGTAACCGATTTCTCGGCTCTTTGTGCGGATGCCTCTGGAGGCATTCGGTGCCAGAACTGGGACTCGGTTTCAAGTTCGGTCTTCTTCACCTTGACTGGGCATTCGAAGATTTCAAAGTAATTTCATGATTGTTCCGAGCGCACGCATTTTGATTGATACTTTAGCACTACTTAAAGGCCATCGGCCTGCTCCCTCCGTTCCGAGTCCGAGTTCCAACGAAACAGATTGCCGGGCGAAATGCATTTCTGTGGATTCATCAATCTTTATCGTTTTCCCCTCGGAGCGGTTTAGTCATCCAAAAAGTTTATTTCCTGCTGCGCTTCGAAATTCCCAATTCCTGTGGCGCTCATTACGTCGATGGCAGGCTAGGTTCGCCAGGCAGGTGGGAGGTAGGAGGTGGGCGGTTCGACGGGGGGCGTGGCCAATGTCCGGACCGCCACTTGTCGACTTCAACATCGGTCTGAGTTCAAATTCGAGTTCAGATTCTTGCTCATTTCGTATGCCGTTAGGCGGCCCAATGTAATTATTCAATACATTTTACGTGCCCAGCAAGCCGAACATCTCGCCGCGGCCACGCCCACGACACGCCCCCGTTCTCCGCCCCCCTATGTTGACCAAAAAACGTGTGAGAGCCGCAGTTGGGCTCTTTCACTTCGGCTTCATTAGAATATGTTTGTATCTGGGATGTGTCATTGACTTGTTCCGCCTGACCAGCCCCATCTGTGTTGCCCGTCCTTCGGGTCCTTCTCCACTTACTGGCTTCCGCTTCCTCTGGCCGCTTTCGCACTTTTGCAATTTATTAAACATTTTATTGCGCCCCAAGGCGTACTTCTGCGCACGTAAACGGCTCCACACAAAAGATCTACGGGTGGAGGTGAAAAGTGGGAGAATGAGACCGCGTTCTAAGGAGCAGGACAATTAAAGGTGGGACGAAATGCAAAACGATTTTGGCACAGGTGGCAACACATAAACTCCCATCCCCAAGTAATCACCCCTTCGACCAAAAAGTACCATTGGTACCATCACGGACGGGGTGAATAGAAGGATTCCAGGGGGAGAAATTTGCAATTCATTGGATTTCTTGCAACGGACCCACTTGAAAGACTTCTCAAAATGAATACTGACACATATTTCCTTATTCCAATCGCTGGAAAGAAAAAGTTACTCCTGAGGTCCTTACATGACTTCCAATTATCTATAACCGATTACTCGAAGCTTTTGCTTAGTATAAAGCAATAATTATGAAATAAATAAGTATTAATTAAATTATAAGACTTTTATATCTAATTACCCTATAATTAGGTTGCATAATACTGCTGTTTAGCAATCTAAGTATGTAAATGTGTAGGGACTAATAGGAAACATTCAAGATCCAAACATTTCAGGGGTCGGACTATCGAATATAACGAGTTGAATGAACATTTTCTCTTATAACTTCTATGCGTTCATTTTTGTTACTTGCAGTACGCGAAACAAAGGGAGTGTTAGACGCACTACATTAAGGAACTACTGTTATCTTTAGGAAACTAGATCAGATCAGTACTCTGCACCCTTCTGGACAACAATACGCAATGCACCGGTGTCGCCCTTTTCGGCACTTTTCCAAAATAATTTCCAATCAAATTTCACACTCGAACGAGAACTGGTAAAAAGCGCAGCGAGTGCAAGACACGCACACTAAAAAACCCAGCAAACAACGAGCACACACACTCGCGCGCGAGAGGGAGAATATTGATTGCCGGACAGATTGACGGAGCGAGCGAGACAGGCAAAGCAAAGAACTACCAACAATGTCAAAACAAATGTAACAAGAGGGTTGGAAGGGGCAGAAGAGGGGGTTGGGGAGCCAGAGGGCGGCTCGTTTTTATGTTGACGCCGTCGTCGACAGCGGCTCGTCTTTTGCGCTGCCCGCAGCTGTGATTTGGCGTTGTTGTACTTATATTTGTTCCCGCCAAACAAAGCAGCCTCTCTCTCTCACTCTTTCGCCAACCTTTCTACTTTCTACACAAAGAACATGCATACATGGGCATACATATGTGCACATACATATGTTTGTTCGTAAGTTTGGAGGATGTTTCCCGAGTAGCTAATGGAATAAATTCCGAATTGACATAATGCCGACGCAAAAGCAACAACAAACATCGGTTGCATCTATCTTGCAACGTTGCGCCAAGTGTTTGGCCAGCTTAAGCGACA